AATCATCGGTGAACGAAACTGCGGCAGCTACAACCAGTGTACGACGAGTACGCGGTTCTTACAGCTGACAATGATGATGATGATAGTCACTGTATTCACACTGGAAGTCGCAACCGAGTGCTTTGCTTTGATTTTTTAAAATCTAATCTGCCGCCTACTTACGGTCGTTTTCCCGTATTTTTCACCTATAGGTCCCTTCTTTCGCGTCCGATGTGCTATCGATATTCCAGTACAAGCTTCATCTATTGCAAGTAAGGAGTTCTTAGCTATCCTTTTGATTGTTCATCTTCACAATCCTCGTTTACGTGGGTAGTCACCCATTATGTACCAATCTTGTTTTCACGAAAAGTGACCTCAGTAGTTACAAAATTACAGACACCAGAATCACTTCTATTCCTACGACAGCCCGAAAGTAACTTGAACAACGCATTACCGTTTGAAGACTAGGTAGATAATATATTCTTTTCGCCAAGGCGGAAATTCTTCGATACTGTGTAGATAGCTGGAATTGGTTTGCCCAAGTGTGAGTTGCCCTGGGATTTCGGAATTAGTACTGAAGATCTGCCATTAATTACTGTGAATAACCCAAGGCAACTTCACACGAAAAAGATGAAGGTTTCATCCACAACCTGTTACCTTCTGAGCATGTAGATTATGTTGCAGTTGCGCTATTCTTGGCAGCAAGCCTTTTAACCTTACTCGCCCATCAAAATATCACAGCCACCGCTCCGACATCGTCGTGCTGATCGATGGAATAGCCAGACATATCGTCACCAAGACATTTCACCACTCTTCGAACCGTTGGTTACGTCGATTTAATAGCATTTAAGAATTTAATGAGGTTTCTCCATACATGTGGTTGAAAGATCAACTGTTCTCTATTATTTTTTCCATTAACGAGCTTCCCCACCACTCCAAGTGCGCTTCAGTGATAGCACGTTTTTTAATAGTGATCATTTTTGTTGTAACCAGTTTTGTCTGATGTTCGGGTCAACGAAATTTACTGACACCGCGAAATTCATTCACAGATTTGCATTTTAACGCTTCCGAGTTGGACTCTGAACCCTTGTTTTTCATGGTGAGAGTCGCGACTTGCAGAAATTGACACTGTTCCTGGGCCTGTTGATCGCGAACGAAGCTGAATTCCTTCCGTGCCGACGAACTGAGGTGATTAATCTTCCCGTGTTCTAGCAGATGATAGGCACAAGTGAGCAGCGATGCGATGAGTCGTGGCATTTTTTACTAACCCAAACGCTCGAAGATATGCTCATCTAGCAAGTGATTACCTCCTTCTTCCTCCACTCTTTTGAACAACTCTTCTATAGTCTCGTGAGGATGCGCTGGAGGCCAGCGCGTCTGCGAATGCCGAAGCATTGAACCAAGCCAACCGCTTGTGTGAGTACTACCGAGAAAGGGCAATCATTGCCGAGGCAGAATCAGAACAACTGCGCGTATTACAATTGGATTCCGTCGGCCGCATCGAAAAAGACAAACTGTCGCTGGCACTACTGAACTCTCAGTTGGAACGGTAAGTTTCGAAGTAGATTCACTCAGTATCTGTATTTGAGGGTGGATGTAAACTGGCTGTTGCGTGGATGCGGAGAAGCTCCGTCACTTCCTTCGAACCAAAATGTCTGCGCCCTTCCAGTTTCTGGCTGCTTATAGTTTTTTGTTATTTCCAGACTATCTTCAGAGTTAGTCGAACTCCGAAAACAACTGACAGACAAGACATCGGAGTGTCAAGGTACGTTCTTTGTCTATCCGTGATCGTTCTGCATGTTCATCTGGGCACAATCACTTAGGTGACCTGCTCGTTCGCTTGAATTTTCAGACTTGACACAAAAGAACGACAACCTACAAACAAAACTAAATGCTGCACGGGAGGAAAATCGTGCAATGGATGCAACCATCGATGACTACCGAAATCAGTTGGATTTGGCCAAGGAACAAATACAAGCACAATTAACACAAGTAAGTGAGCATCTCAAATAGTCGCCGAAAACACACTGGACTCTGACTGCGCTTGTCACCCAGTCAGGTAATCTGCTCGTCAACCCAAACAGGAAGAGATTCGATGAAGTTGTTTGCCTGTCTGGTCATGACGTTCGGTCTTTAGTTATCTGAGTCTGGGGCGAGATGGCCCAAGTGGTTAGAGCGCGAATTTACTGACCAGAAGGTCCGTGGTTCGAATCCGACCTCTACCACTCGACTTCCCCTATCTAGGCGTGGGCGACCTGGCAGTATCCCAGCCCTCGTGCTTCCTTCTGGTGGCATGGCAGTTAGGCACCGAAAGTGTGCTACAGCTGAAAGACTTTTTTTTATCTGAGCCTCAGGTTCTCTTCGTTTCGTTTTTCCGAACTGCTCGAGCCTATTTACACGTACGACCTCGTCAACATGCTCCTTGTATCTGTCGTGCTCATTGTCGGTTCGCACTTTACGAACTAATACGGATATTATGCTTTCAATGCATATGATCTAACGAAGATAAACATTCCGGGAATCTGCATACCATACTCCAGAGTTACTCAACTCCTTTATATCATCTGTTGATCTCTACATCCTTAATGAGTTTCCCTGTCCGAACGCGACGCTTTCATGCATCAGTAAGCGGGCACCTTGAAATTCAACAGACCGGAATGTCATCCAGTTCTACGATGATTTGTTTGTATCACAGCGTGCCTTCACGTACGACCGCCTTTATGCTGATGATTACATACTCACACACGTAATACAACTGTCAATGAGCAACGAATACCGTACCCTACAGTTATGGTCATGATCATCCTCATCAGAGATAGCAACATCAGTGTCGACAGTGATAATGATGCTTCACTGCCGTACAGCCACGAAGTTTATTGAATTATATGGTATTTTATAGGACACGCACTCAGTAATAATTTCGCTGCACGAACGTAGGCATGCTTCGATCTTGGAAACCGGCGTCAGCACACATCTCAAGAGCTAAACATTCCGCACTGGATTTGAATTAGCACAATCGAATGCACTAATTTCGAGAGTTTTCTCGACCAGAGATCTTCCGAATTACTTTTTAGAGCAGTGTGCATTCACTCGGGGATAAAGTCCTCTCACTAGCAAACCTCCCATCTACGTTTCAGCGTTATTCATTCTAAATCACACTGTTTCATACTGTTCAGATGACTCCACACCCTGGATGCTTTTAGTTTTATCTTCCTTCACCGGTGCCTAGCAGTATGGTCTGTTTGAATCAGACAGATCCGTTAGTGAATTCATCAGCCTGGCTTGACATTGTCAGATCCGTACTTGCCGCGCATCGGGAATTGAAAAAACTTCGCGTCTTACTATGATCCTTAGTTTGGTTTAAAATATCGCGGTTTTATCGACTATTTGTGGCACTTACGTTTAATGCAACATTTATCAATGACCGAAAACGTGTTGTGCACTCGTCACACTTATTTGGCACAAAACCGAACTCGAAAACAAGAAAATTGTCGTATTTGGCGGAATAACCTGTTTTTGTTGGTGTGAGCAGCCACGGAGTATCGTTAGATGGACAGAGTGCTGCATTTCAAAAAAAACGTCTGTTTGGTATGCACACAAAATAGACTGCTAACGCTAGAGGTTTTCTTAATTCTTCCGTATTGCTATCTTCTACGGCAGCCGAAATGTCAAACTGCTCGGTCAGAATTCTTCTATGATGCTCAGTCTCCGCCCAACTTAGTTACTGTGGTTTTGTCGAACTTGTTTAACCCTGACTATCATTTGCCACTCCATCTCTGGGCCTAAAGATAGCACGACGAGCGGGTGGCGAAATTTACCGTTGCATCATGGAAGCTGACAGTTTTTGTGATGTCCTCTTTTCAGATCAGCTGACTGCATGTTCCAACTTGGAGAAAAGTGTATCAGGATGGCAGTATGCCTAAATTAGTTGAAAGTGGTTATGGAACCTGCAGAATCCGCGTTCATATTGTTCTCTTTTTATACTCCTCCTCTTGTCCTTGCGGAATTACTCTGGTCCGTCCATACAAACGGAGGATGCACTGAACTCCAGTTTCGCGCTTATCACAGCTCGTCGGTAGCGCCGAAGGTTGCACTGCAGACATCTGGCATACGAGACAGGCGCGAGACCGCTTTTCAATCAAAGCATGCTGGAAGCACCTGGTTTAGAACGTTTACAGGGACTCACGTGAATTCTACGAATCCCGAAACCAACTGCAGCTGACAAAAAAACTGGCCAACAGATTTCAGGCGCTATGTGTGTTAATCGATAGACAACCAGGATAGCTAGTGGGTCATCGTTCGACCCGCCGGACAAACCAATGAATTCAATCAAGCGTGAACAAGTCCGGCTGTTCAGAGGTGCACAAGTGGAGTAGTGGCAGCACGCTCACCTCGCATGTCAAATGTCCGGAGTCCAAATCCCCATAAGGCCAAGGAAGTGCATTGCTGATGAGCTCTAATAAGAGCGAAACTCGGGTCTGGTGCTTCCACTTTTGGCATGGACTCACCGGAATAAGTTCGCCAAAATTGTTCCGAGAGTGATGCAAACGTACGTCTAAATGTTGGTAGCAGGAGTGACGATTCCTCCTCTCGTGATGACGAGACCGACGCAAGCCAATTACAGAGCTCGGCTAGCAGCAATTACTGCCCGGTTAACAACCGCAGCATTTCGTTAGAGTTGAGAATCCGCTAAGGAGTGAAGATCGTCTACAACCTGAGCACTAAGTCTGCGCTTGTTGTTCCTCGATCACGGTATACCGGAGTGCTCGATGTCTATGATACTGAGTCTATGGTGTACCTGGGCAATTTCCGGACACAATCATTCTGTGAAATTTTCTTGGGGTAAAATTTGACCATAGGATCCCTGGTGTAATAATGTCCTCTGAAAAGATGTCTTCTCTGTGACCAAAGATAAACTCTTCTAAACCTTACGAAAATAAATTCGCTTATTTCGATTTTGTTTGTGAGGATGTAACACTGGACTGTGGGATCGTTTTCCGATCTAACGATTTCCATCGATATGTACGTGCATTCGTCGTTGTGATTGAGTACAAGTCAGCAAGATATTGACCCAGCAATCGACGTGCACCGTCACTTGACGCAGCGAGCACGTGCTTCCTTGTTTTGTTTATGCCTAGGATAGTCGCCCGGCAAACATTCCTACTTCACCACCAACGCTTCAGTACTATTCAGCTTATGTGGGTCGACCGGTGTGAAGGCACAGTCGTGCCTTATTTTTTGCCCTACTGGCTTCCTGCTATCATGCAAGTCTCCTGAATGTAGCACGTTCGGAAATAAAGCATTCAATGAACCATGCGTAATAATTACACGACTAGGTTTCCACTACCCTTAACAGATCACGAGTAGAAATGACACCATATGTGTTGCTAAGTTCCGAGCGCAAATCATCATCGCAACAGTGTAACTAGATCGAATACTATCGTATTCTTTGTTGCGTAACAATGTCCCAATGTTGTGCAAGTCCGCCCGTCTGGTAGTGTGTTTCGGTAATGTTTCTTAATCGCCTGTGCAATTCATCTGCACGATCGTATTCTTTGTTGCGTAACAATGTCCCAGTGTTGTGCAGTTCGTCTGAACGCAAACAAAACGTGCACCACTCGCATACGTCGATTCTCGACCCAGCCCTCTGGCTTCGGTTGTTCTTTCCCACTGCTTGTTCAACAACCTAAGCATTATTTAAGTCTTGAATCCAGCATTTCTCTTGCACTCGTATTTCATGAGTAGCAAGCAGACGGGCGCATTCCAGACGTGCTGTTAACTACGGTCTAATAATGGAACGACATTAGACAGGTAAATAGGTTGTATCCCCACTAGTATGTTGCGGTTCACAACATATGCTTTAGTGATAGCTGAAAAGTATCAGCGAATGTGTTTAGTTTCGCTGTAAGGAAACGTGGGTTCACTCGCTTTGTTTGATTAGCATACTGTGAGGCAGTCGAAGATTGAACAAATTTACGCCTGTACCAATTTGCATGATTTCCTCCGGAGATTTGACTGTCCGAGCTCTTTTTCGCGAAATTATATTTCCCGTCATTTTCTTTGTTGCTTCCGCACTGACTGTAAGCATGGTTATCATGAAGATGTATTTACCAAGGGTTTTATTCTTGTTAGAATTCGTTTTCGCTTTTGAGTGCCAGCGCACGAAGTTTTGAGAAAGAAAAAACGGCCTGCTGATTTTTAACGGTTTGCCCTTTAACTTCTTCGCAGATCAACAAATTCACCCAGATCACAAGGCTCATTAACGATCTGACCGGAAATCCACAGGGCGATTTGACGGCAATAAATTTACCCGTGGCTTCCGGAGATAGTGGCGGTTCGATTGGCATGGAATCTATTAGCAGCCATGGCGGCCAGGATTCGGGAAACCGCGCGACCACTGCAGGCGTTGCCAAGCGAATGGCTACAAGAGCTGCTAGGCGTTGATTCAGCTACAGCAACCACTGGTGTGCAATCCTACTACCGTTTCTGACTACGGCCATCAATATTACCATACAATAATCAGATAATCCGTGACTAGATCTATGACATTCTTTGTCGAACTACGGTCAGTGTCTTCTCATGTAAATATTGCCTCAAGATCTCTGTACCCTCATCTGCAGTGTTTGAGTAAATCCCATGTCTTATGTGTCCCATATGTCCTAACGGAAAGAGGTACGAACTTAAATGAGAGCTGACGTTGGTAAACCTCTCTCGCTTTCCGAATCTCCATAAAGTTCTCAACTGCTTAGTATGTTATTCTAATGCACGACACTGGGCACAGCGAACAGCTTCGCGATAGTGCCCACCAGTGAAATAGTGTCCTGATTCCTTACTGAAACTTTGCTGATGAACCTTTTAGTGGTGATCGACTTACGACGTTTACATACTCAATGGTTCACAGCGAACAGCTTCGCGATAGTGCCCTGATTCCTTACTGAAGCTTTGCTGATGAACCTTTTAGTAGTGATCGACTTACGACGTTTACGTACTCATTGTTGGTTGTGTATGTCATGTTGCTGGGATACTGCCAGGGCGCCCACAATTAGATAGGACGATTAGGGTCCTCAACCAGAAAGATTCCCTCTGCAGTAATTCACCTTGAAGACCGTTTGCAGTAGGTATTTAGTAGAAACCGTACAGCTCGCTTGCATTTCGTGCGGCTTAATCGCTTCGATATAACCAAGACCTGCATACCGGTTGACTACACTACCAATCACTGACCTGATAATTGTCAATGCCGCCAGTCCTAAAGTGAAGTACCACGCTATTGAGCTGTTAACACTAATCTGACTAAACTCGGAGAAAAAACAAAGTTTACGTCTACGCAGACAAAGTGGATTCCTCTCACGGTTGTGTTGTATCTGAGAACGGTTTACTTTCTCGTCCTAGTAACTGTTAAAACGTGTATTCCGCTCGGTGAAATGACGATTCTCGCGGCGAATGGAAGCCGACGTGGTTCAACAAAAACGTCAGTGGGTTCATGCTTGAATTGCAAACGCGACATGTGGGGATGTTATACAAACCTCCACGCAACACGACGATTGTCTTAACGGCAATAAGCACACACGCTGAGTTGCTGTTGTATGGAAACGAATGTTGCGACAATTTAATGTTTTTGCATTTTTGACCTCAACATACTCAGGAAATGCAAACGCGACATGTGGGGATGTTATACAAACCTCCACGCAACACGACGATTGTCTTAACGACAATAAGCACACACGTTGAGTTGCTGTTCTATGGAAACGAATGTTGCGACGATTTAATGTTTTTGCATTTTTGACCTCAATATACTCAGGAAACCGTTCCAAAGGAGCCCATAATTTCGAGAAACCAGACTGCCGTCGCCAACCGGAAGCTGGCGTCAACCATATTAGGAGGAATATTTGTGCTCTCGGGGTATGCCTTAATGAATTCAGATATCGCCGTTTACCAAAAAGGAAACACGGTGCCTTTCGCAGTTGGACCCATACCAAACGTGACGACGTGGGGCATAAGTTATTACTGAAGAAGGAGGCAAATTGCCACGTGTATTTATTTACATCAGGTCTTTTCCAAGATGACATCAGAGTCGCTGTGCCCGTTTGCGGCCCGTGTACTTCGAGTCATGCGCCACTTCCTTCATCTGTTTGCGAGCGCGTTCTTTCTTCTGTTTGATCCAGGCCACGCTGTGTTTAGGTGGTTTCTTGAATCGATGACATTCGCGCGCCTCACTTCGCTTCCCCCCAGATACTCCAGTAGGTACATCTTGATAGCCACCTTCAGTGAGTGCTTGTGGAAGCCGTCGATAGTTGGTTACATCAAGGACTAGAAAGTACCTATATAAAAATTGGAAAGCCGAAAAGTTTATTATCACACGCTGCCCTCAAAACATATCCCTGTTGTGTAGTTTGCTTCGTGTGTATGGGGGAAACATTTTAACATTTGCTTGAGCAGCTATCAGTCTCCGGATTTTAATCCAATATCCCTTGAAATAACCCTCAACTTAAAATTGCCGTGTCCGATTTCTGCTGAATCGTACAGCTTTCTGAACCATTCGAAATCGGGCTTAACACAGCCTTTTGTCTAGGCTTTTGGCCATAGCTAATATGGAATGTCCCAAGCAATTCACTAGTAGTTCAAGCCACCGCTAAACACTAGTTCTGAAACAGTTAAACTGAACTGGGTTTTCCTTTCCGACGGACCAACATGACGCAGCAGATGAAAATTCTGGCGTAGCAGTGGCCTCACTGCATCAACAGCGTACACTTCGGAGTCCGTCCACTTTGCTTAGGTTGTTCTTCAACAGGATTTGGTCAATGTACAGATTTTAGATGATGAAAGAGGGTTTATCGAATTACCTGAGTACGAATCAATACCAGCTTTTACGTCAATCGGCTGTATTTAACTAGAAGGAAAGGTCTCACCCTACAGTCACTATTTGGATCGTTCTTGCCTTGAAAATTGAGGATGAGCAATACGAATAATGCTGAGACTCACTTCTTCGCACGTGTACTATTTGGAAAATCGATAATTAATCCACCACTGAATCCAGCACGCATCGCTTCATTTTGCAACAAATCTGCTTGAGAAATAGACTCCGGATAGAACTGTAAAACAGCTCTGGCAGTCCTTGAAAGGCAAGCATAAAGAGAAGTGAAGAAACAACGTATACGAGCCACTGGATTGTGTTCCGTCCGGTCCGCATTGCATAACCACTGAATTGCAGAGACACTGACTGCGCCATCAAATGATCCGCCGCGAAACGGTACACCGCAACCAATGTCGCCGAGGATTAAATCGCCCTCCACTTCACGCTCGCGGGCAACTGATAGCATTGCAGTGCTAATGTCAATTCCGACCCACGCGTGTCCATTCTCTGTTATCGTCTCGCCACTCAGTCCAGAACCGCAGCTAGGAAGCTAGTTCATTAACAACATGCCGACTCTACCCAATATCTAAAAGCATGCAGCATTCATCGTCCGGCAAAGCCAACAATTCCAATGCGCGCTCCGTTATGCGTGTCTGAACATCAATAATGTGGGAACTAGCCAAGTAAGAGAGAGAAGGGTCGACTCGATAAAACTGGATTGCGCGTACTTGGATGTGTACTTTTCCGCCTCTTTTTCATCATAGTACTAAGGAGTTGATAAAAAGAAGTGGTCAGAGTAAACGCTTACTAATTCTGGAGGCAGAGTGCTTTCGGGCCTTTTGTGTGCCATATTAACTAGAGGGCTGAAAAATAAAAATTGGAGTTTGTGGAAGTCCGACCTTATGAAATGCAGCAAAAACCTACCTGTGGTATGAACATATCCTGATTCAACAAGGCTCCCCACATAGTTTAGCACCCCTGGCTGATGACCGACGGTTGACGAACGCAGCAGGGACCCCTAAATGAGCAAGTCGCTCCGGTAGTGAGAGAAATTTATTCAGTGTATTAGAGGAGAATTCGCTTCTCATAAGCCCAACTTACACTCTTAGGCTGATAGCCAAAAGGGAATAGAAGAGATTATGAAATGTCTGTGTGCTATTAGCGGTGTCCGACGTCTGTGTGACTTTCCCCATGCATCACTCAATACATTGCAAGGTAAAACTTCCAGTATTTAGTGACTTTCTTGCTCTCTGCTGCTACTCACGTTGTCTGAGTGAGTATTCGGAGGAAAATGCAACCCGAATGTTTGGGGTAGGCTAGTACGACGTCCCCTTCCATCTTTAGCCTCATTACACAGGTTCAGTACCGGTTCGCACCGGGTTCCAAATGGTTTAAAATCGCAAACCGAAGGAGTTGTTCTCTGTTGGGCAATTCTCATTTGACTGATTATTTACGGGACAATTTTAGAACCTTCCAGCATCTTACCAGCATCCTCAATACAAGTTACTTCAGACCAACTTTATTTCGCCATCATACATCAAACAAGTGGAATGGGGCACTATGGATAAGTCGCTTAAAAACTGTTCCAAGAGCCCAGGCCCGAAGGAACATGCTCAGCGACGAACAAACACTATCCACTCTGACGCATGTGACACGAACCTCCGTGGTATTTCTTTTTTTCAGCTGTAACACCCTTCCGGTGCCTAGCTGCCATGCCACCCGAAGGGAGCACGAGCACTTGGATACTGGCAGGTTCCCCAAGCCTAGACAGGAGGAGTCGAGAGGCAGAGGCCGGGTTCGAACCACGGACCCTCCGGTCAGTAAATTCGCGCTGTAACCGATTGGGCTATCTCGCCCCATGGTATTGCCTATCCAGGAAAAGAAAACAGCCGGACAGCACATATACCACAGCCTTAGTAAAGGCTGTTCGTGAGGCGCATCCAAACGCCTCAGTGTGGTCGAGGGTTTATGCTATGGGCAGCCGTTTAGTCGAGCTCAGTGTTGTTCTCGAAATGCTACTCAGATGGTTACTTCTGGAGAGGACTTACTACTGTCATCTGGTGCCCCATCGGTCCATTTTCCTCAGCTTTTTTATGGGCGACTTGTGCCACTTCGAAATATCATGACGTCTAACTATCCCCAGGAGCACCACTAGGATGCGATCGATATCATCATCGACAGCATGACATCAGCGTTCAACACCGGTGCTTTGCTGATTTATTTGAAAGCCTTGTTGTAAAGAGAAGAAAAATGAACGGGGAAGGGAATTAGTGCTAGCTTATTACAATCATCCTGAGGTGCTTATACCTCCAGACACTCATCCAATTAATCTGGATGGAAACCGAGAACAAGAACGCCACTACAGCATCTCCAACCAGGAGCAGTAGGGATCTCGCGGTACCCATCCTGGAAGGCTAGTAGCACTAACAGCAACCAGACGTTTCGTAATCACTTTCACACCCCTCTACAAGCTCAAGGTTTGGCCACCTCTAATTCTAGCAGTCTAGATTGGGCATGCAAAACAGCAGTCTCTTCAGAAAAAGATGGTTCGACATACACATACGGACATGGGTTGGAAAGAGGAAAAAGTGCGTACCAAAGGATAGGATGGATTTGGTCAATTCATTCAAATCATCTGCACCTTTTCCGCCCCTTCGAAGACGGGAATGATGCCATCTGCATATTCCAGATTGACAAGGTTTCCGGCAGCGGCTATTTGAACACCAGGGCTTCAAAGACCTTCCAACGTTTGCCTCATTATCTTGTCGACGACGAAGTCAAATCGGAATGGAGAGAGTGGGCACCCCTGACAGATACTGTCTTGTGTACGGAAGCTGTTGGAGAGCTCCCCGTATATTCATCCGTCCCGAATTGAGAATGAAAGAACTTTTCATGTTCACGAACTTCAGGGGCATTCCCTGATGGGCGGGCGTGTTTAATAAAACAAACCGATCAACCAGGAATAACAAAGTGTGGATCATTTATACGTACGGTGCTGTTCTAGCAACCTCCACTAGGTTATAAAAATCTTTAAGATCGCTGGAACAAACCCACTTCGATATGATGCTCAGATGCGTTACATAATTTAGGTGCCTTGCTCTTGATTGTCTTCCCTAGGGGCGTGAAGCAGTTTATGCTAAGTTGCTACCGTTTCCTTTTTTTCCTATATCTTCTAGGGCACTCTTCCTCATGGTTGTGCGGCAGTTAACCTATAATATTTACTGCCGGTAAATTACTGCCAATGATGATGGTGCCCACCGAGCTGAATTTTCTATGGGTAACCTGAAAGTATCTCAAACCTCGTGCTTGCTTCGGGTGGCATGGAAGCTTGACCGCCTTTTGAATGTCAGTCAGATGTCTTTCGTATACTTAAAAACAAGGCTAGAAAACTGGGCACTGGAACACAGTTATGCAGCGAACTTGCAGTTACAACATCTAAGATATTTGACATGTGGCACCACTCCTCCCCTTCCAGTCACCAGCAACCACCACAATGTTAAGGCTGGACGGTCTGTCGATAAATCCTCCTAGCCCGCCGTAGAAACCATCCTCAACAGATAGGTTTGCCACTCACGCCTGTCGAGATAGGCCACAAAAACACACTCACCCTATATCTGTCATGCAGCTAACTCCGGAAAAAACGCAAGTACAACACCCCGCTTTGGTAGACAGACAGGATAAAATGTGCCAGAACCAACCGTCTTTCGCGAGATATCCTAGGACCAATGAGTTGCCATGCTTCGGCTTGATACCCTTGCTTAATGGCCGCACACTGAGGCCGGCTAATAGCTAATAGACCGCTCTTCCGTCAGCAACTTCCACGGCATGACGCTGAACACCGGCTTTTTGCAAATTTTCCATGGGTAGCAACTCCCGACAGTCTGAAGCCATTGGAAAAAAACAGGAATATTTTCGTGAGGACTCAATGCAAGGAGATTCAGTAGCAAGACTTAGTCTTCCAGCGTCAGCTCGCGTAGTCAGAGTGATGGCGACTCGGTCACATGCAGGCAGTTTAGACACGTGTCTGCCTTTGCCCGCAAGGTCTGTGCATGTCGCTACGCCCCTACTGGACAGTGTGTCGCGCGATCCAACAATCAAACTCTAAATCGCCCTCGTCCATCCATTGCTGCTTCCAACTTAAACACCAACCTCCTAATAAATCAGTTTACCGTGGTCTACGAAACAATGAATAAATATCTGTTGTTTCGTGCAACTGGGTCCTTACTTTACGGGTACAATACCTACCTTTTCCAATTTTTTAGTGTTTTGGGCCCTTTTTGAGAATTTTTAAACGCTAATGGGTAGCTGCTCTTCGTCTAACCTCGATAAGGCGGCTGCGGGATACTTCCGGCCACAAAATGAGTGAACTCCACTAAAAAGGGTGTGAAATACTCCAAAGCACTTCGCCGAAGAAAATTTCATTTCGGCCAAACATGACGTAAACCAGATCCGCTGTGTTTAATTCAGGCATGGTCAACCTCATTGAAAAAATGAGTGGCAATAGGAGCTTTGAGTGACTAATTTCGGCTCTATCTCACCTTTAGTATATGACGTTATTTCCCAGTCTTTGCGCAAGACTGCTTACCTGCCAGCTAGAAGCAGCTTTCGACTATGTGGTGCCGCTGGGTTCAGTTGGGAAGATTCATAGGGTCGGTGAAAGCCCTTGGTATCTTGATAATAACAATCAGGTTGCCGAACAATAACTCGCTGAGTGAGAACACACTTGGAGCTCTCAACTTATCCTAGCGTGACGGTCGTCGGTGTTCACCAAACTAACGCCTATAGTCATGTCGGCTTTTTCATTTAATCTACTTCTAGAATTGGGCTGGAACTCCAAGTGTAAACATAGCAATTCCTTGCCAAACTCTAACGACACCAAATGCATCCAAGAACCATAACTGATTCACCCTAGACGTCCGTGTACAATTGTACACGTGCCTTAAGACACTAAAATACGACTTCGCGACCACTGTAGCACGACTGCCGTACCCCATCTGAGGACCCACCCGTAGCTCAGACCCAGCGTTAGCTTCGTGCACAATAAAGCGCCAGTTCAGTGAATTTATGCCAGAACACTAAATTACCGGTCATTCCTTTGTTCACTTTGCCCACACCGCTCATGTACCCACTTATTCTAGTGTCGACCATCTGGTTCTATATATACAACACAAGCAATGCATCTGTCCAAAAAAATCCAGACCAACAACTTTCACATTCCAGAACAAATGAGATTACCCGCGGTAGAAGCACTCTTNAATTTAGGTGCCTTGCTCTTGATTGTCTTCCCTAGGGGCGTGAAGCAGTTTATGCTAAGTTGCTACCGTTTCCTTTTTTTCCAATCTCTTCTAGGGCACTCTTCCTCATGGTTGTGCGGCAGTTAACCTATAATATTTACTGCCGGTAAATTACTGCCAATGGTGATGGTGCCCACCGAGCTGAATTTTCTATGGGTAACCTGAAAGTATCTCAAACCTCGTGCTTGCTTCGGGTGGCATGGAAGCTTGACCGCCTTTTGAATGTCAGTCAGATGTCTTTCGTATACTTAAAAACAAGGCTAGAAAACTGGGCACTGGAACACAGTTATGCAGCGAACTTGCAGTCACAACATCTAAGATATTTGACATGTGGCACCACTCCCCCCCTTCCAGTCACCAGCAACCACCACCACGTTAAGGCTGGACGGTCTGTTGATAAATCCTCCTAGCCCGCCGTAGAAACCATCTTCAACAGATAGGTTTGCCACTCACGCCTGTCGAGATAGGCCACAAAAACACACTCACCCTATATTTGTCATGCAGCTAACTCCGGAAAAAACGCAAGTACAACACCCCGCTTTGGTAGACAGACAGGATAAAATGTGCCAGAACCAACCGTCTTTCGCGAGATATCCTAGGACCAATGAGTTGCCATGCTTCGGCTTGATACCCTTGCTTAATGGCCGCACACTGAGGCCGGCTAATAGCTAATAGACCGCTCTTCCGTCAGCAACTTCCACGGCATGACGCTGAACACCGGCTTTTTGCAAATTTTCCATGGGTAGCAACTCCCGACAGTCTGAAGCCATTGGAAAAAAACAGGAATATTTTCGTGAGGACTCAATGTAAGGAGATTCAGTAGCAAGACTTAGTCTTCCAGCGTCAGCTCGCGTAGTCAGAGTGATGGCGACTCGGTCACATGCAGGCAGTTTAGACACGTGTCTGCCTTTGCCCGCAAGGTCTGTGCATGTCGCTACGCCCCTACTGGACAGTGTGTCGCGTGATCTAACAATCAAACTCTAAATCGCCCTCGTCCATCCATTGCTGCTTCCAACTTAAACACCAACCTCCTAATAAATCAGTTTACCGTGGTCTACGAAACAATGAATAAATATCTGTTGTTTCGTGCAACTGGGTCCTTACTTTACGGGTACAATACCTACCTTTTTCCAATCATTTTAGTGTTTTGGGCACTTTTTGAGAATTTTTAACCGCTAATGGGTAGCTTCTCTTCGTCTAACCTCGATAAGGCGGCTGCGGGATACTTCCGGCCACAAAATGAGTGAACTCCACTAAAAAGGGCGTGAAATACGCCAAAGCACTTGGCCGAAGAAAATTTCATTTCGGCCAAACATGACGTAAACCAGATCCGCTGTGTTTAATTCAGGCATGGTCAACCTCATTGAAAAAATGAGTGGCAATAGGAGCTTTGAGTGACTAATTTCGGCTCTATCTCACCTTTAGTATATGACGTTATTCTCCCAGTCTTGCGCAAGACTGCTTACCTGCCAGCTAGAAGCAGCTTTCGACTATGTGGTGCCGCTGGGTTCAGTTGGGAAGA